CTTCCTTCCTGTAGATAATTTTACATACTTGGAAAGCACAAAGCAACTACGTAACCTTCTTTCATTAATGGGATATAACCTCGGTGCATTTATTGATCTACAAACAGCTTTATTAAGTTTGACATATAACATCCCTTCCCAGGCACCTTTATCACTTTCAAAATCTTCCAACCCTTAGCACTTTGACACAAGCTTCACAAATACCCAGGATCTAATTTACTTAACTTGTTCCAACACTACCAGTTATTTGAGTCACACTATACCCTGAAATCCACTATTTAAACCAATAGCAAGTTCAAGACTAGCATGGCCAACTTAGCAACATTCTGTGTGGTGGTCTGAGTGAGACTGGCACCAATAGGATCATAGATTTAAATATTTGGTTTCCAGCTGACGGACTGTTTAGGAAGGAATATGAGATGTGGCCCTGTAGAGGAAGTGTGTCACTAGGGGCGGGCTTTGAGGTTTCAAAAGCTCAGTCACGCCCCGACTCTGCCTGTAATTCTCTGCCTGTAACTTGTGGTTTAGACATGTGCTCTCAGCTACTTCTCCAGCTCCCTGCTACGATGATGGTGGAATAACCCTCTCAAATAGTGAGCAAGCTCCCAGTCAACTGCTTCCTTTTTAAAAGCTGCCTTGGCTATGGTTTCTCTCCACATCAGTAGAACAACAACCAAAATCTCTTGTTTTAAACAAACCAACAAAAACATTAAACTACAAAGGGCTAAGGATGTAGGTCACACCCAGGCACAGGACTAGGCACTTGCATGGCATGTGCCACACATCTGGGTTCAGCCCAGTACTGCAACAGTGATTCAGTGATGTTCGTATTTTTGAGACAACTAATCTCGCGGCTTACCTTCTAAAAATCTGTCTAGGTTACTGTCTAGGAAAAGACAATAAACCAGGAAACACAGCCTGAAGAGCTGTGGGAAGCGAGGCCGTGGTGGGTGTAGAGAACTCCTGTGGGAAGGGAGCACTTGTTCCGCAGCCCCCTTCAGAGCATTAGCTCTGCAAAGGGACAAAAGCAATCTCCCAAGGAATCATCAGCTAAATGTTTAATAAAAACAACAACAAAAGCCATCTGTGTATCTGACCATCCTTGAGTTAGGGTCTGGGGTTGGAATTCAGCCTTGACTGGCCCTCTGTCTCCCTGGCCCCATAAATGATAATCTTGCATTACTCCCTGTTGAGTGTCTTACTCTTTTGAGTACCAAGTCTGCTTTTCCTAAGCTCCTCCTCTGATGAATCTGGGAGTTTAAGACACATGCCTTTAATTTAAGCAGGCATTTCTTAGTAGTATTAGCTAATATTGATACTTTCAGTAGTGCCCAATAATAATATCAAATACTGGGTAAAAGTAACAACTGAAGTAGAACTGTCTGGCCTGATAGGTCCTAATGAGTTTTCTAGAATGAGTTTGATAGACACTTCATAGACAAAACAAGCTGAAGAGAAACCACTGGAGTGTAATCTACCTATTAGAAGAGAAGGCTATAGTGGGATGAGTCACTGATGGGTCGATAAGTGGAAGAAGTGAAAGTGTTCTGCATAGAGGCAGGTTACGCACGTCCAAACAAGCAGCCCAGCAGCAAGGCTGGGGAAGCCTTCCCCAGCACCCGAGCTCTGAGACGTGCTGCCACCACCTGGGCAGTAGGCAATTCTAAAGTTGTCAGCAATGACAGACTTAAAAAGCGTAACTCCACTTTGGGGAGTGGAGTGCGGGGTGTGTGTGTGTGTGTTGGGGGGGGGGTAGGTGGGGGGTGGGTGGAAGAAAAGAGAAAACATTTCTGCCAAGACTCTGAGGGAGCAGGGATTTTGGTAAGGAATGCTTAGAATTCTGCTTTACTCTTTTAAGTCTTCTGTTGTTAACTGGAAAACCTGTGTAAGAACACGAATCTTTGATAGGTGATTTAGCTCAGGATTAATGACAGTATTTGAGAAGCACTGACTTCAATACTTGGTACACAGAAAGTACTCAACTTACTTTTTAAATTTATTACTACCCAGCATGTTCTTCAAAATATAATGAGCCCAATTAATTCTTAAAGTTACCAACATGCCAACTACGAAATGCACTTGTACTGTGTTTTGATGAAAAGCAAAGGCATAAAAAATAACGTTATGAAACAAAACTTCACGGAAAAAACCCAGTTCCATCAAAAGAAGTTAAACATGTACAAGCTTACTGGGGGAAAGAAGGCCGAGTGCAGGTAAGAGAGCTTTCGGCATCTTTTAATCAGAGCAAATAATAACATTATTATAGTAGAACCTTACTCAGGGTACACTCCTTTCACTGAGACATAGTTAGATTGAGACTTAATTTTGTACTTACAATGTTAAAAAAGACTTTAGAAACCAAAGAATGACAAGTCTGCTAGGAATTACCTTCTCAAGAGGAAAGCAAGGTTTTTGTGCAGATCTTCCTTTGCTTCAGAGTTCCCTATGTGGACATGGCTGTTTTAATCCTAGATACACAGCTCTCCCTAGTCTGGTCTCCAATGGGAACTACCTTAACACCCTACCTCCTCTTTGAGAGAGGGTCTCCAGTAGCCCAGAATGGCTCAAACTCCCTGTATGTTTACCAAGATATTGAACTCTTAATCTTCCTGGTTTCACCTCTTGAGTCTCAGGGTTACACCTGGTTAAAATTTACTTATGAACAAGGCAGAACTTATTACTTGTTATCTAAAAACAATGTTCTGAAGGACATTTGGGAAACTGAAGTCCAAGTTAGGAAGACAACGGTGGTGGTGCATGCCCATCATCCCATTACTTAAGAGGCTGGACCAGAATGACCCAGAGTTCAAGCAGAGCCTAGGCTACACTGCAAGACTCTCTCGAATAAACAAAACCACAGCTACTCCCTCCCTCTCAGAAAGGATAAGCAGCTAGAGGACTGGCCAGATATAGACTAATCTACTGATCTGAAATGACTAGAGGTGAACTAGGATGCTCTCTAGATATATAAGAGGAAAAGGCTCAGAGTGAATGGGTTCTGTAGGGGTTATCAGTATGGAGACTAAAAAGCAGACCTCACCACTGAACAGTCAGTCCATGGTTTGGGAGCCTATCTTACTTATCATCTTTGGTTAAGGTAATGCAGGCCACAGTACGACCGTCCTCTATGGCAACCTCTATGCTGGTCTTGGGCTTGCACAAGACTGCCTAATATACCAGAAGATAGATCCCTAAAACTAGAACGTGAAGACAAGGTCTCCAATACTTTATAGCTGAAGAAGCTTGCTTCTTCTTTCTTTCCTTTGTGTGTGTGTAAAATGCATGATTACGCCAGTGCACCACCTCTTAGGTTCCTCAGGTACTTCCTTATTGTGCTTCCTTTTATTCCCAAGACTTGTGGGGACACCACGACCTTTAGGGATAAAACAGCAACACACTGGGAGGCAAAACTTGTGAGAAATCATCTATTGAAGTGAACATGTCACTGATACAAGCCTGTTACAGGTCTATTTGTTCTGCGCAGGTCTAAGCGATCCTTCAGGTTTTCACACAAGAATAAGAAAACGTCTGCTGCTAATACAATTTGCAATCATTAGCATATACCCAAGGAGTAGTATTTTAGATCCTTAGATTATCTGCCAAAGTCTGCTTCTTGGTAAATAATGGTTACTGTTGTTAGCCTTTAACTATTCCTACATGTCTCGGCTTGCTCCTCAAAGGGAACACTCACAGTCTCTCAGGAATAAAAACTTGCTTTATTTGGCACACAGCGGTGAGGAGGTCTTGCAACATTCGCCCGAGGCAGTCAAACAGAGCAAGTAGTTCAGGCAAGCAATCACAAAATTTGAGCACCAACCAAACCAGAGCTAATCTTTCAGTTCCTGTAGATTAGGGAGACCCATTTAACGCACCCCTTTTTGCTTGTTGACTTTTGAAGTCCTTTATTTATGTATTGGAAGAACAAGTACTTCTGTGGGATCTCTATGCCCTGACAGTTTAATTATTGACAGTTTACTTTGGGCAAGTATCGACCATTCCTTTGTGAAATAAGTTAGGCTCTTAAATTAAAAACAAACAACAAAACTTCTTTCCCACAGCGTGGCAGCCTTTCCCCCTGGTAACAAGGTTCACTGGACACATCCCAGCCCGGCTGCTGCTTTGTCTGAATCTTTAAATATTTAACTATTGTTCAACTATAAAGCACGAGTGAGGGGTGAAACCATCCAGAGTCCTTCCGCCGCAGGCGAGAAGGCTCTAAGAAGTCTGCGGGGTCCACCTCATTTCTTGCTGCGGCTCTCTGGGACTGAGAGTCCCCTGTACGAACTCCTCACCCACTCCGTCTCCTCGCCAGCGTCCCACGCAGGACGCGAGGCCACGATGCCCCAGCGACAGCGCACACGAAGCAGCGCGCAGCATCACCTGCCGCGGACCCGAACCCACCGCTCCACGTCGCCCCGCCCTCCCGCTCTGGCTCGCGCCATGGCGCCGCCGGAAGCCCGCCCGCGACTTCCTCGTCCCGCCCACCCCGCCCCGCCTGTGGGCGGGACCTGAGCGGAGCGGCTTCCGCTTTCCACTTTCCTGCCTGGCGGTGAGTGGGAATGGGAGCGGGTTCCCTTAGGGTGTGTGGTGGCTAGCGGTAGCCTAGGCTGAGAGTGTGGCTGGGCTACCCCGTCTCCCCGAACTCCTGATCGGCGGGTCTTGCCTGGCTCCGCTCGGCGGGGCGGCGTCCTTAGCCTGTGAGGCCGACGGATGTTGGTGGACATGGCCCGGGGCAAGGAGAATCCTAAGGAGGGAAAGTTAGAAAAGGGAAGCTGCAGGTATAGAGCCGCAAAGTTCAGGTCCTGGTTCCCTAGGCTTTTTGAGGTGAAGGAGTATACCTGAAAGTGAGGCAAAGATGTTTTGGTCCGAGACTGAGTTGCACTCGAGATATGTGGCCTGTGGACGGTAACTTTGCCACAACCTAGTCTTTAAATCGCGCTGTTTGCAAAGTTACGCGCTTTTCGCAGAAACTTGTGTTATTTAGTTCGTTACTGGGCTCGAGAAAGACCGATCCTTCCTGGACCTTCCTGAAAACTGGTTACAACTGGGCGAGGGCGTAACAAGGGTCAGGATGGTTAACGTCTTCAGCAAGTTTAATGTGCTGAAAGTAGAGGCATGGTTTCTGGTACAAATACGAAGATAATAGCATGGGGACATCGAAGTTAAAACCAGTGACAGTTTTCTTGATGTGATGGATTGTCGGTACCATAATTATTTTGGTAATCCTTTATTTTCCTGTAAGGTACACTAATTGTACTACAGACCACAAGACCTATAAAGAGCAAGGCACGGTGTTTGACTTTGTAATGATGTACTCAATCCAACGAATAAATGAGAAGTCTTAAGTGCAAGCAGTTTAAACTCTTGGCTGGGGATGTTGTTCAGCATTGAAGCATCTGCCTACTGTTCTCTTCGAGGCCTTGGGTCGGATCCCCAGCAGTAGACACAAAGATTCAAAATCTTTTATGGGTATGGCACCTGTAATATGTCAGTGAGCCAGATTGATTTTTTTTTTTATGTCAGTGAAAGTCATAACTTTGTTATTCAGACAAAAATTTAGTAATCAAGTAATTTACTTAAAGTACTTGGTGAATTAGGACTCTTTTTCAGGGCATTTGCAATTGTAATTTAAGAAGAAGTGGGTGTTAAAGGCTATACTATTATAGAAAGATGTTTTTTACTTGTTTTTAGAGCAGAGATTTTTTTCTATTCATAATCTTACTGTAAAAGTATCTTTTATTCTCCTTTTGTAATTGTCATTTCTGAGACTTACTACCTCAGTCGGCTAACCTAGGTCTAGTCCTGGAAGCTTCTAGCCTCCATACAATCTTATCTAGGCCTACCTAGACTGTTTTCAGCCTCTTGATACTTACTGGTGAATAAACTCATCCTTTCTTGTTCTTCCTGAGCTCTGGCTGGCCGGCCATCTCAGCTGTTCTGACTCAAACTCCTTGCCAAGCTGACTGACTCAATCTGGCTTCTCTCAGCTTCTCACTGAATGGCTCTGCTTGGCCTCAAACTAACTCCAGCCATGTGTTCTAATCTTCTGGCTCCTTCTCATTCTCTAGATCATTGTCTTCACTTGTGTCTAGCTTGTTCTCTCTCTGCAGCCTGTCTCTGTACACCTTATCCCAGTAACCTCCTTTCTTCTCTCTCTGTCCTGCTCTCTCAAATAGCCTCTTTTTCCTCTCTCTTCTTGCGAGGGTTGGGCATATCCTATTCTGTTAAATCTTTCTCTGATTCATCATTTTGGCTGCCACTCAACTGGGCATCACTTTCAAATATGGTGCTTCCTTCTACAAAGTAACTTTACTTTGATTGTTTGGGATTAAAGGTGCATACTAAGGGCCTGTCTGCATTACAGCCAGAGTGATCAAAGTTGTGTGCTAAGGGCTGGGCCACAGACTGTAGCACAATCTTGGGGTTCACAGTATGATCAAATATCCTTCATCACGTTAAAATAGTTATGACTTAATTTTCTTCTTTTCCAGGTCCTCCATGTATATATATATATAGAATTTAACCCCCTCCAAAGTGTGTATGGTCAAACTGAAGAAGACATAACCAACAGTCATCTGAATTGTGATTGACTCACTGATAATCCCAGGGGAAAATTAGAGATCATTACTCTAACATAAGGTAAATGGTTTTAAAAAAAATCCTAGCTTGAGACTTTAGGTGGCCGTAAACATACACAAACCTTCCCTATTCAGGTATTGTAATTCAACTATAATTGAAACAGGTTGCTAGAAACAGAAACACAGAGTTTGCCTCTGGGACAATATAGAAAGTCCTCACTATATTTTACCAGATGATCCTCTGTTACCAACTCAAAAAAGACCAACATGTACAGGACTTACTGTGGTTGCATTTCTCATTGTGACTTTTTTTGTAGAGCTGTCAAAATTTAAAAGCCCATAACCTAGCAATCATTCCCCCTACCCCCCCACCCCGGATGTATGAATGTGGATTATAGTATCATGGTTGCCTTAACCTATGTTCCAGAAATAGCCATCTACTTCCCTTTCTCTGGGAGAATTTCTTATGGTCTGACTTGAGAAGTCAGACGTGAAGTCTGATTTGTACTTTCGTTAATTAGTACTCAGCAGTACTAATGGTGTGCTAGCAATGACAGGATTCAGCTCTTTCCTGAATTGAGCCTGTGGAAGTCAAGATCCTTGTATGTCTGCTCCTGTATAGTTTGCCCTGAGAATTAGAGACCTGGAGAATGCTCATAGGACACAGTCCAAATGGGCCTTCTATAAATTGGTCTTTACTTGCTATAAATTGACTATTTGTGTTGTTCGATTTGAACTATTTTTTAGTCTTTATTAAAAATACTAATTAATACTGAAAAAAAAAAACCCAAAACTAGGCGATAATGGAATTCTGATTAAATTGGATTTCTAACTTTCAGGATTTGATTAACCATATAGTCTTCTGTTCTGTTTTTGTTTTCTTCCCCCCTTCCCTCCATTCTTCAACCCCCAGTTGCCTGCCTTCTGCAGAGATGCTTGACATAAAGGCTTGGGCTGAGTATGTTGTGGAGTGGGCTGCGAAGGACCCATATGGCTTCCTTACCACAGTCATCTTGGCGCTCACACCACTGTTCCTAGCTAGTGCTGTACTGTCCTGGAAGTTGGCCAAGATGATTGAAGCCAGAGAGAAGGAGCAAAAGAAGAAACAAAAACGGCAAGAAAACATTGCAAAAGCTAAACGACTAAAGAAGGATTGAAGGAGTGAACAGACTGCAGCTAGAAAACCCCTCTGGAAACTCTGCAGCTTTGGAAGGACTCTAACTAAGCTTCCAGTCAGTTCCTGAGAGTATTATTTAGTAAATTAAATCTGGCTGTATAGAAGTGTCATGTTCTGACCTCAATACTATATAGTAACTTTTAGGGTTGGAAATAAAAGTCTGTTGGTATCTACTGACAAGTATTTAAGTTAGCATTTATCATACAGGTGGAACGTACCTAATGTGAAAATTCAAAGCTCAAAAGCACTGTAAAATCTAACACCTGTGCTCAGACATGACGCCAAGAGTGGAAAAAGCCACAGCCCACTTCGTGATGGGTTGCAGTCAAAATACAGGTGCGCTAAAAATACATAAAGCTATCTTCATGCCATGAGAAATGCAAGCGGACCTTGTGTTTGAATTGGATCCCATCCTCAAGGTATTATGAAATACTTTAAAATCTGAAAAAGAAAAAATTAAAAACATTCCAGGTCTCAAGCAGTTTTGTTTGTTCAACCTGTAGTAAAAATTCTTTAAACTGACACTCATTTGCCGATTTTGGAGCTTAACGTATGTCAGTGAAGAATGACGAGAAAATGGTTTTAGATTATGAATCCTATTTAAATGGTAGTTAAATGGGGTTCAGTTCTGGACAGAGGACATTAGGAATGTAAAAGAATTAACCTTCTGAGGTGAAAAGTTTACTTTGGCTTAAAAGAGATACAGTATATTAATCACTTTTTCAAAATCATTACTGCTTATTTTTTGGAATGGAAGCATTACTTTCTCAAAGGAAAATTTTATTAATGAGTATGGCTATTTTCATTCTTCTGACTTTAGCTTTTAACACAGCTAGTAATTATCAAGATACTGCATTTTAAAACCTAACTTTATATAGGATTCTTATTACCTTGACCATGTTCAATACCACCTACTGGATAGAATAATTTTTACACTTTGAACACTGCCATTTGCTTAAATGTGTTGCTAAGAGTAACATGCTGGAGAGGCAGCAGTGCAAATGCCTTGCACTGTGGATACCTTGGGTTCAGTTTTAAATGTGAAACTGTTAAATGTCACCAGATCATTAGCTCATTAGCTCATTATGTAGACACTACTTTCGTTTTTGTTTGTAACCAATACAGTAGTGATTTCCCGTTACTCTGAACATAGGTTCAAAGTGAAAATCAAAATTTCAAATTTATGAAGTCATACTTTGTAATTTAAACAAACAAGGGTTTAAATTTAGAAACATGTTCATGGGTGTGTCAGTGGTTGCAGGGACTGCAGTAAATGGCAGTACAAAGCTGGGGACCGTCCAGTGGCAATACATCCATGAGACTTTTAAACATGGTTTTTCTAAATGCATGGTCGAGCAACAGTCACTGCAGGATTGAACTGCTTATTACTATTTTCTGCATCTCTGATAATTTTAAGTTACAGTAATTGTCAGTCTTAATAAAAATGAAACTAAATATTGAAATAAATTTGATACCTTTTTATAAAGAGGTCCTGAGTTTTTGTCTTTTGGAGGGAGGAATATTCAAATTACAGATGTCTTGCAAGTTAATGTTTCAAAAAGATTACAAATTTCAGCCATAGCTAAATGTGCTAGAAATAGGATAGCTTCTCAGAAGAAGTCAAGGACTCCTGAGCGTGCTGATGGGCCAGCTGTTTTCTTTAGGTTACTAGCTCCTGGTTGGTCCTACCTTCAGCTCTACGCACTAAGATAATTCGGCATTTACTGTCAGTCAGGTGATCTCGGTGTTTTAAGTAATAAGGTATTATATCATCAAATTAAAACAAAACTTGCTTATAAAGAACCACTGACCTCCATCGAGCTTCAGAGCCCACATTTTGGATGTCACTAATTTGACAAAAAGTTTCAGTATGATTTGTATATGGCCACATTTTAGTGTGGAGTCCAAATATTGAAGCAGAAAGATAAAATAACTCTCAGCCACTGAAGAGGAGGTTTTGGTAATGTAAAGGTATGTATTTCACTTAAAGTCTGGTTTCTTAGTACACCTTAATGTCTTAATGTGGTGATTTTGTATTTGATGAAAGCTATTATTTCTTCAACATGTATACATGAGATCAACAAACATTTTATTGGGGAAGGGGCGTGTGTGTGTGTGTGTGTGTGTGTGCTGGGTATAAAACAGGAAATACTGTGAAGTTTGAAATTCTTCAGAAAATCCATCTTTTCTCACTGAGAAACAGTAGTAGTATCGGAAGACTCTTACATGTTATCCAGAATACTTTTTTTTTTTTTCTAAAAAGAAAGAAACGCCCTTTCTCATGTTGGAATTTCTGAAAACTAAATGCAGTTGTTTCCCCTTTTGTGGATAGAAACAAGGTGTCCTGATGCCCTTCAAGCATTTTCCCCAAAATGATTCAGAAAATGTGATCCTACTTCAGATGATTGCCTTAATATCTGCATCTGGTTATAGGATCACTCTGGTTTATTGCTGCTTATTTAGAAGAAATCTTTAAGGCCATTTTTTTTTTTTGAACACAATAACAGATGGTTAGACATCAAAGTTTTGAAAATGCAAATAGAACTTGGACCAGTTTCTTCATAATTTCTTGAAATTTCAGTTGACTTCCACAGCCACATCCTTTTTTTTTTAAAGAATAAAAAGAGTTTGAAAAGTGATTTAAATAAATTCAGATATTTTAAATAATGTAGTTAATGAAATAGCATTAAAAAGATCAATACAGTGGTGATTGGTTCAAGGTTAATTAAAAAAGAAAAGCTTTCTATGTTGTTAAAAGGGTGTTAATGATTTTTCCTTATTTTTTTTGTTTTGAGATTATAATTACATCATTTTCCCTTTCTGTTTCTGCCCCTCCAACCCCCCCTTCTCCTATCCCACCCCAAAACCCTGCCATCTTTCAAATTCATGGCCTCTTTTTCTTTGTTACATACATACGTGTGTGTGTGTGTATTCCTAAATATAACATGTTCAGTCCATATAGTTACTTCTGTGTATATACTTCAAATATAGGTGCAGCTAGGTTATATGATTAAACCCTGGAATCAGAAACAGTGGTTTTTGCTCTAGAAGTTTGCACAATGTTAAGCTCGTCATTGCAGAAGGTATCCTATAAACATGTATAGCAGAAGCATGGAAAACTAAGGATTTAGTTCTTAAGTATATACTTAAGGTATACAGTATTCTTTTGTTAATATGAACATTTTCACTCTTGAGACTAAATACTTTAAAATAGGTATAAAATCTGTCTTGAAAGACATAATAATAAACTTTGAAATGTTCAAATATAGCTGATGTAAAAGTGAAATGTAGCAGGTAAGATATTTAATATTTAAATTCTACTTTGAATGTTTCACTGCTAGGTGGCTTTTTAATTTAACTTTTTTTTTTTTTAACTTATTCACTTTATATCCAAGTCACTGCACCCCTCCTGGTCACACCCTCCCCTAATCTTTCCTCTATCCCAACCTCTCCTTCTCCAAGCAGGTGTGAACCCCGTTGGGTTTCCTCCCTGCCCTGGCACTTCACATCTCTGTGAGGCTAGGTGCTTCCTCTCCCACCGAGGCCAGACAAGGCAGCCCAGCTCCAGACAAGGCAGCTCAGCTGGAAGAACATATCCCAGGGACAGGCAGCAGCTTTTGGGATAGCCCCTGCTCCAGTTGTTTGGGACCCACATGAAGACAGAGCTGCACATCTGCTACATATGTGCAGGAAGCCTAGGTCCAGCCTGTGTATGTTCTTTGGTTGGTGGTTCTGATTCTGAGGCCCCAAGGGACCAGGTTAGTTGATTCTGTTGGTCTTTCTATGGGGTTCCTGTCCCTTTTACAGCCCACAATCCTTCCTATTCTTTCATAAGAGTCCCCAAGCTCCATCCACTGTTTCGCTGTGGGTGGCTAGGTGCCTTTTAAAACGTAGAATGGCAAATGAAGTCTGGCATGCCAGCAGAGGCAGGTGGATCCCTGGATTTAAGGCCAGTGTGGTGTACACAGTGAGACCTTATTTCTAAAACAAGGTAGAACCCAAGGCACGTGATAATCAGGCTAGAATTATATCTTATTCTGCAGGAGATTCACATGTGTCACCTGATAGCAAACCTACTATTCGTTTCTTAAATTTTCTTTGGGCCCTATGTTCTGTCCCAAGTTCTCTTATTGAAATAGGAGTCCCTTCCCCCTCCCTTTTTAGCCACTGTGAAAGCCCACTGTTGTCCTTACATTAGCTGCTGGTTCCTGACTGAGCCTGGGGACCTTGCATGTGCTGGGTATCCAAAGTGGCATGACACTTGCCAACATGGTAATCAGTGTCATGTTATACATAATAAGCTTTGTGGAACACAGTTTATAGTCAGGAAATACAAAGGGATCAACTTTTAACCTTTTATTGTTAAAATAGCCATATCCTTACAAATGATATGACTTTACCACAGTGCATTCATTGACTTTGTCTTTTGCTGTCTTCTGGCATCCAGGATCCTGGCTGAAAAGTTTTGCCAGTGCTGGTGGGAGTCACTGAGGGTTCTTCCTTCCCAAAATACGGGGCAGAGGCATGCCCTTTAATTTGAGTTGCAGTAGATGAAGGCAAGAGTTCTTCACTCGTTTCTTTACCAAGTTTTTCTTTTTCATAAAATTCTTGGCTTTTTATTTTAATTTCTTCTCTGTATTTTTCATTCTTTAGTATTTCCTGCACATAGATATAATTGGGAAACATGATTAAATTTGTAGTTTAAATCATTCAAAGGTTTATGAAAAAAATCCAATCAAGATATTAAGAGATACTGCATTACATGTGTAGCTAATGAACAGGCTAAGGCTGGAAGGCTTTGATTACATATCATTCTGAAATGTTGTAGCATTTTATGTTACAAGAGAGAGACTGAGACAACACAGAAAAATATTTACTACTCAAAAAAGTGAAACAAATGTTACCTAAGAATCTGCACTATTGTATCAAAAGTTTTCAGGTTTTACAACTGCTTTCTGCCTTAAAGCCCAGCATCCATGACTGCTTTTCCACTGCAGAGCAAGATGTGTTGGAGTGTCCTAGGATGCTTCTCATGCCTGCCACTCTGTGTTGGGAATTCACGTGAATGCTAATTCACCTTCTATATTGCTGGATCTAAGCTCCGCCTACTTCTTTTTCCCTAGAGCTGTCTAGTGGAGAACAGAGCAGAGAGTTCAGCATGTCCTAAAATCTTGAGCTACAGAGAGGCACTTCACTACTGGAAGTATTTCCTCAAAGCAGTCAATTTGCAGGAAGTTCTGCAGCTTGGCTGTATCTGAGATCTATACTAAAATTACAGAGGAGCATTATTACATAGACCTTTCGGAAAAGGCAATGAAATCCTTTCAGGCTGCAGGTAAGAAGGCAGGAGTGGACCATGCTTCACACGACAACGAGGGACTAGAGTATAAGGAGCCGAGGACAAGCTCCGAGGATCAAGAAAGACAACCAGAGAAAGCTAGAGGCCACAGAATCAGGCACAAAGTACCCACATTTCAAGATTGGATCCCTGGAGGGGAAGTGTGAAGTAAACAGTACCCCTCCCCCAATACCAAAAGGCCAGCAGTTCCAGTGCCAGGCAAACTCACAATTCTTACACACTTTAATCCAGCACAGGGAGTTAGTCTGAAAGTGAGCCCCTCCTCTGTAGCAAATTAGCTCAAAGAGAATCCATTGCCCAAGTGCTATAATAAGACATCTTCAACCAACCGCCCACATGACTGCGGTGGTGGCACACAGGCCTGAAGGTTCAGTTTCCTTGAGGTAGAAGCAGGGGAATTTAGAGTTCAAGGTCCTTGCTAGTCCCAGCCAGTGCCTGTCCAGCTGAGCTAAGTGAGATGTTCTCTCTTAAAAATACAGAACTGCATTCAAAGATACTGAAGTAGATGAAATACTGCGTAAAGAATTCAGACAGTTGTTTCTAAAAGGATGAATTAATTCAAAGAGGGTAAAATAGAGAAGTTAATGAACAAAGAAAGACAACACAGGATACAAGTAAGTAAATCATCAGAGCAGTAGAGGTTCTGAAATAGAGTAAGTAATCCTAAGGAAACCAGCTGCTGGCTGGGAACAGTCTGACAAGGAAGGTTCATTCTGATTTAAAGAGAGTGACTGCTTATTCTGTGCTAAGAAATAAACACCCAACTCCCAGCCATCCGCTCTTAGCTCCTGTGCTAGTAGGGACTTAATCTTAGGGTGCATGCAAGCCAGGCAAATAAGTGCTCTACTGCAGGGTGACATCCCTACCCTACCCTAGTCCTTTTGAAACAGGGAAAGGAGGTGATACAATGTAATCTTCAAATTTCCCACCAAGATCTGGCATAATTGGTACCACACTAGCCTGTTTAAAAAAAAAAGAAGAAGAAAGAAAGAGAAAGCCAAGAAAAAAAAAGTAGATAAATGTACAAAACACAGTGGTTAGTACCCATCTGAGACTTCTGAAAGGTGATGGAAAAAATGAGATAATGCCTGTTACCCTGCATTTCTGCCTAGGTACACATTATGGACTGCCACATGGGCTAGGGCCCAAGTGAAGGTGGCATCTCACTAAGCTCAAGCCATAATACTAGTTGCCTATGGAGACTAAGGAAGATGTAAAACACTGGGCAGATTATCACATTCTGGACCCTGCACAGGGACCCACTCGAGTGTTCAGAAGGATACCGGCTGAATGTGTGTAATGTGAGTCTTCCCAAAGCCAGCCAGGAGGCCTTCTGGCCAAGTCCTGCAGCAGAGCAGTACGATGGGCCACTGCTGGAGCTAGCGCTGAATTAGAAGACATTCAAGATCTACCAGCCCCAGGAACCTAGGAGCACCTGGGCAAACAGTAAAGAGCCTAGGAGCACAGCCGCTCGGGTAAGAAGCAAGTGGCATAAGAGCAGGCTTTGCTTTAGAACTGTGCTATTGAATGTGGTAGCCAGATGTTATTTGACTTTAACATATTTAGAATAAAATAAGATTTAGAAGTCACAAAGTATTTAACTGCCAAATGTATATAGTGGCCACCATACTGAAAAAGACAGATACAAAAATCTCTATCATTATAGAATCTGTTATTGGAGTATACTATTCTAGAGTTTATTTAACAGAACTTAAAAATAATCCTCCAGAACTTTGAGATGATTCACATGTCAATTAACAGTCCTTCAGTACAAACCTCAGTAAAAGGAAAGACAACAAAATCCACACATTAAACACAGGAATACCTTAGCGGTCACCATGCAAGCAAGAAGAAGAGAAAGTGTGATTTAAATGTAGCCCATGTTATAGACTTTGAAATGACTGAATCGACAAATAAGGATGTCCTTACAGCCACATACAAATGTTCAGCTGTAAAGGCCGCAGGAGGAAAGACAGGAAACAGAGAACCAAGAGAAAACCTAGAATATACATGCTAGGAAAACTTGAGTGCTGTTTAGCAGCCGATCAGACACAGTATAAGAAAAGAGTCAGAAAGCTGCGGATTGAAACGAGGGATTAGAAAAGCTTACAAAATAAAGCCCCAGTGAGGTGGGGACGTAACAAGTTGTTCACCATGCACACACACAAGGGAAATAATGATCAAAAATACCCAAAGGGGATACAAATACAAATGTACATACCCAAGAAGCTCAACAGACCCCAATTGGGATGATCACATACCAAAATCAAGCTGCTAAAAACTGATGAGAAAGGGGACTCTAGAGGAAAGGGCACATGGATGTAAGAGACAGAAATCACTGAGTTCCCTCAGAAACAGTGGGTGTGCTAAGACAAGAGAATGGCTTTGAAGTGTTTGAATAAGAAGAGCAGACATAGAATTCCCTATCCTGTGAAACTGTTCAATAAAGGAACAGAAGAAACAAACATTTTCAGACAAACACCACAAGCAAATCTGAAGATGAGAAACATTAGAGGAAATACTTCTGCTAATGGAAAGTCCTACACACAGAAATCTGATTCCATGATTCCTTGCTATAGCTGGAGGGCACCCTCCAACCTCCCCCTCCCTCCCCCCTCCCCCCGAAGGATCAGAATGACGGACTTCACTGCACAGAAACTCAGGGTTTCTGGACACTTTGTTAGGTGTTGGGTATTCTGGAACTCTGTCCATTCTTTTCAAGTTCTCGGAAAATATGAAGACCATCAGAACCCTGTGCAGTGATTGTGTTGCTACCACAGCAACTCTCAAGCTTTGCTGATGGAGCTCAGGACAGTGCAGCCGGGAAGGAAGGACTGCTAATCCCATATGCAGTCCCATGTGCACAGCAGCGAAGCCTCAAGCTTTTCACATCTCAGCAGAACAGGTAGCAGAGAGCGGTCAGGAAGCTGGGCTTCACTATTAAGCACATTCCTAGCACTTACTTCCACCTCCAGCCCCCTTCTCCCACCTGTTCTTCCAAACAGCATGACCAGCTACGGACCTAGCGCTCAGGCACACACGCCTATGGGGACATTTCACATCCTCAATTACCACCTCAAGCCTTCCCTACTTCCATCTAAGGAAACGCACCTGCTTATCATGCCTTCCATGCACCACATCATTTTCTGTGTCCCCTGACATGGGATTTTGAGCAGCATATCAACAATGGTCCTTCGATTGCGTTTGAAGCCAAGTCATGGAATTAACAACCACAAAATCACGAGTAGTAAGGTCAGCCCCATTCTGGGAGAGTGACATGGACTCTGATGGAGTGAACAGCTGAAGAAAATTATTCCCTACCAAGCTCAAAGGAAAAACCATACTGACAATGGAGACAGATTGAACTCAGTCAAAATCTGTATGCTAAGTTGTTCCTTAAGTGTGTTTATGAATGACCAGTGTCTGTGATAACTCTTATTTGAAGAGGCAACAGAACTTATTTCAATGTAGTCAATACATTTAGGTTTGTTTATGGAGCCTTGTTTTGGTGAAAGCGGAAAGACACATCAGTGTTACCTACTGTTTGAATTTATAGGTTATTTTATATGTCAAAATTGTGACCTTAAATGTCATTGTGGAGGATGAGATACAACAGCAAAAGAGAACAGCCTGAAAGCCTTCAAAATGGTTGCCACATAAGACAGACAACGGCTATTTTTCTGGTATTCATTAATATGAACTCAAGCTCCCCAAAGGTGGTCAAGTCCACTGTAACGCCATTACTTGCTAAGAGTCCTTTGGGTAGCTGAACTCAACAGTGCAAATTGATATAAGAATCATGATGTCAAAAAGTTTTTAAAAAATTTTTTTAAGGTCTAAATATGTACTCTACTAATATGCTGACATATAGCTCAGTCACAGACATTAGGCATGATATCATCAGGAGAGTTATCTTATTTTATCAGTCTTATGTGAGATTCTAAAAGAGGCATTTTCTACAACAGTGAGGAATTAGCTCTATCACATAGTTATGGCTGTAAGAAATCTTAAGTAAGAGAAATAGAAATGGAGATGCTAAGAGGAGGTAAAGCAAACGGCAGAATAGAGAAAAGGTCCCCGCAGTAATGTGTCCTGGGAGAGAAGGAAGCCCAGGCAGCAGAAAGCTGAGCCTTGAACAGAACTGTAAAATCTGAGAGAAGGGAGAGAGCTGGCACATGCTCCCTGAGGAAGCTGCTATGGATGGATCAAAGCTTTAATGACTTGTTGAGTTCTGGGGACAAGGACAGGCCAAGAATTATCTGAGCAAGTCCTAAAGATTATTCAGTGTCTTCCACCACAA